CAGCTCAGTAGAGCCCCCAGGTGATTGCAGCCCCAGCTGCCATCTGACTGCAGGTGCATGGGAGGCCCCTAGTGATACCAGTAGAATTGCCCAGCTGAGCCCTGTCAACCCACAGAACTATGAGAGATCATAAAATGGTTGTTGCTTTAAGTCATCGAGTTTTGGGATGATTTGTTACACAGCAATTTATAACTGACACAGTGTGTCTTTAGGGAAAATAAGTGATAACTCTGGACTCCAGCTCTGTCTTCTATAGGATGAGAGGGACTTGTCTGCAGGCAATCTGACGTGTTTGAATGTGGGACGTTCGTGCTCAAACATGGAAGTGCAAAATATTCAGCAGCTCAGCCAGATAAGAACTTAACGGTGGCAGAGACCAGGAATCCGCATTTTAACAAGCTCCCCAAGAAAGCGGACCATGTTTTGAGAGCCTCTAGACCACTTGATACTCAGAAGTCCCCATGACACCAAGTCATAATACTGTCCTGTGTATTAATCTGATATGGCCCTTCTTAGAGGTCACTGACAGAAGGCAAAACATTTCCAAAAGGAAGGAATTGACAATGTGGAATGACTGGTGGGTTGGACGGCCCTCCATGATCCAGCCTTAACCTGTCTTTCCTGCCTTCTCTCCCACAAATCCCCTTTCAGATGCTCTGTCCTAATCCCACCCGACAGTTCATTCATCTACAGACAGAGTGGAAAAGAGGTTTCATCTGCCGTGCCAGGTTTGACTAACTGATGGGGCATGGCTTCCTCGGACAGTGCCATGATCCATTAGTAATGTCTGCTGTGAACACAGGCAGGGGCTGTGGCAGTATCCACTCCCCGCATTTGCGACTCTGTCCCACATCCTTCCCAGTGTTGTGAAAAGCTTCCACACCTTTGCTCATTCTGTTTCTTCTTCTTGGAAAGCCTTGTTCCTCCATCTCACATTTTTAATTTTTCTCATTTTTATTATGCATCTTGCACCTCCTCATAACGCTGGATCCTGATTTTCCCAGATGAAAGTAATTTCTTCCTCCCCTAACTTCCCATGACACCTCATCTGGCATTAACTTATGGCATTTAGCACTGTATTCTGTGTATTTTCATTATTCTAGTCTTCCCCGTTAGGTTGGATTCTTTTTCGGGGGGGAGGTACCATATCAGTTTCGTCTTTGTGCAACTGGGTGTCCCAGATGGGCCCAAACTGGGAGCAGGAGTTGGCAGAACTGGGGGCTGCTGACCCCTCTGTACTAGCCTGAGCTGAAGCAGGAGGGTGTTTGTTTTTCTGAAAGTGCAGACGCGGGTGCAGGTGGAACCAGTGCATCGGAGGTGTGCTGGAGAAGCTGGGATGCTGTGTGTCTGCCCGCCTGTCAGAAGGGCCGACGTGGAGCACCTGAGGTGACAGGCGTTGAATCCAAAAGCCAGAGGACCTGTGTGACGCTCCGGCTCAACCGTCAGTGTGTCAGGGCCCAGGTGCCTCAGTGCGAGTTGAGGGGAGAGAGGGCTGTCGATGAGTCAGCCCTGAGCACTCTCAGAAATAACTGGGGAGGACTCTGGGGTGGGGCTGGGTCCTGAGGCACCCATGGGGCGGGGCTCGAGCCTTCCCAGCTTGGGAGTGAAGGGAGCAGTGTCCTCAGGTGCACCCGCTGGCTCATGGGAGCCCCGGGGACCCTCGGCAGACATTCCCATCGCCCCAGCCTGGCGGGACTTGCACACAGCGGGTCTGTCCTGTCGTCACTGTGTCCTCTGGGACAGCACGGTGCCTGGCACATGGCAGGTACTCGGACATGGTTTGTGGAATCGACGTCGGCAAGGACGGCGGGTGGCAAAGGGAGTGGGGTGTGCCCTGCCCACTCCCTCAGCTCTGACCTCCGTGACCTTCCACACGGCCCTGGGTGCACCCCGAACCTTGGAGACCGCAGCGGGTTGGGTGGAGCGTACAGGGTTCTCCCTCTGCCTTTGGCTCTCACTTTCTAGCCGAGGTTTAAGGGCAGCACCGAAAGCGAGTGCCTCCGCTCTGCTGGGGTCAAACCCATAGACGCAGCGGGGCTGTCTCCTGCTGTTCGTCCTCAGCTTTCTGTGTGTGAAGCCTGAGCGGCTGGTGGTGAAGGGGACAGGGTCTCCCTTTTCTCCACTCAACCTTTATCTATACCCGGGACTCAGGCCCAGAGAGGGAGAGGGATTTTTCCAGAGTTACACAGCAAGCTAGTGTCGAGGCTGGGACCAGGACTGGGGTCTCTGTGGCAGGGTCCTACCCCAGCATTCTTTCCACATCATTGCTCCTCACCCATAAGGAGCTCTGCCACCCGTGAGGCCACCCAACAGGTGCCACGCAGGGCACTGCCAGGGCCTTCTGAGTCTTCCTCTGGGCCTCCCTCACTCCCTCTGCCTTCCTGTCCCTCTTGCTGGTCTTTTCCCCAGTTGAGGACAAAATCCAGGGGATGCAGGGGCTGCCCTGTTCAGACAGGCCACCCCGTCCCTCCCAGCCACGGTCACCTCTCTTTCCTCCCCTTCTTCATTCTTTAACAGACCGCGACATGGACCTGACGTCTACTTGAACCTGTATGTGGTACTTATCTGACTGTTTTATGATCCTCGTCCTGTAGTTCTAAACTTGTTCATCTCTCACTCGTTGAAAACAAAAGAAAGAAAAAGTCAACTCCCCAAACCAGAGAATGTCCAAAATATACCAAATAACGGTCTCCCCTGGTCAGAATTATTTGTGTCCTCTTTGGCCTTTGAGTGCTGTTTTTCTGGGGCTCAGGCCTCCAGGAGAGCACAGCTCGCAGCCCCAGGGGCGGCTGCATAGAGCCACCACCGTCCCGCCTGTCCCCCTGCGTCATGATCTGAGCCTCCCGAGACCCCCTCTGCACTCCTCACCTGGTGTGGGGTCCCCTTCTCCATCCCCCTGCAGCCCGCCAGGGCCCGCCAGAGGGTCACCTGGGCCTAACACCTGCTCCTGGCTTAGTTCTCTTGTCCCCCAGACTGCAAGCCCCTCTTCAGCTCACATTTGCCACACTCTCGCTGGGGACTGTGTGAGGCACTTGCAAACCCCTCGTCTCATTTAATCCTTACATCATGTTTCTGTTGCGTATCTTTGCTCTGAGATTCAGTTTCCCGGTGGAGGTAAATGATCTTATCCCCATTTTACAGGGGGAAACTGAGGCTCAGAAAACCTAGGTATCTTGTGTAGTGTTATTATTTTTAGGCAAAAGAGCCTGGATTTGAAATCAACTATTCCTGCTAGATCACAGTGTAGAAACCTTGACTAATTACATCTCATATTTATATAGTGCTTTACAGCTTGCGAGATTTGCTCCCTAATTTCCCCATTGCAGCTTTCACACTGTGCCGTGATACATACCCTGTCTCAGTCACTAATGATTTCTAGAAATAGCACATATAGCATAACATGAGCTGTTACAGAGGAGTGCCCAAGGAATGCCCCCCCTCTGAGGGGGCCCAGAGGAGGGAGCAACTGATTGCCTGGAGGAGTCGGGGAAGGCTTCCTGGAGGAGGTACCATTTGAGTTGGGCCCTGAAGGCTGAACAGGAGGTGGGCACACCTGGCACAAGCACAGAGGTGTGTTTTGGTGGGTGTGCCGGCAGGTGGGAGCAGACAGGCAGAAGCAACAGGTTGGGACCGAGCTGTGTTAGGTTTGGAAAGTCACGAGGAGAGGTTAGGCTTATCCGGCTGGGGAGGTGTCCCCTGCAGGGACAGGACAGGACAGAACAGTCCTCAGCCACACAGGCTACTCCCGTGGCTCTGAGCGTTGAGCATTTGAAATGTGGCCAATGCAACTGAAGAATTCTAAAGTTTGTTTAATTTTAATTAAAATATAAAAAACTTGTACTCGATTCCATTATTGGAAAACTTTTAAGAATGTTTGGAACAATTTGGGCATGTGAATCGATTTTCAACCGTAAACTGTGTGAATTCTAAATACAGCACAGAACGAGTATTTCTGATGAAAATTTGGCATCCAAATGGGGATGTACTGCACGCTGAAGATACACATTGGGTTTTGAAGATGAAGAAAAACTGTGCAATAGTTCATCGATAATTGATCTATATCAATATGTTGAAATGATACTATTTTAGATATGTATGGTTAAATAAAAAAATCATGAAAATTAATTTCACCTGTTTGTTGTTTACTTTTTTAAATGCAGCTACTAGAAAATTTAAAATTCCGTGGGGTAACTGTATCCCTGTTGGACGGCACTGGGCTGAGATTCTGGCGTGTCCAGCAGGGCCCGGGAGGCCCCAGCGCCTGCCCCTTAGCAGCCCCTCCAGCGACTCTGACGTCCGTGACTGGGACCTGCTCTGAGGAGTTCTGCTTTAAAAAGATCCCTCTGGGTACCAGGTGGAGGTCGCATTGAAGTGCGGGCCTCGGGGCAGCCGGGCTGCCGACGTGGAAGATACAGAAAGAGGCCCAACTTCAGGCAGTGGCCATGGGGAGACTCCCCGAAGGCTGGACGACTCTCAGCATTCCCTTCCAGGGCCCCGGGTGCCCTCCGAGTGGCCTCTGCCCCGGCCTGGCCGCAGGACATGGGGTGAGAGGGGACCTGAGGGAAGGGCCCAACACAGCCCCAGCCTCGGGGGACAGATGTTGGGCAGTGGTCTGGGGGAGTGGGTGCACCTCCAGGGGCTGCCAGCCTCTGGGGGTTGGCCCCACACTCACCGAGGAGATGGCAGAAAGGCCCCCTGGCACAGAAACGAGCCCAGCTTGGCCACCTGTTCCTATTCCTCCCAGGACGAGGGCCAGGCGTGGATGGCAAGGGCCCCAGAGTAGTAAGGAGGAATTTTCTTTGTGACTTGCCTTCCCTGTCCCGATCAACGCTCGAGCCGTGTATACGTGGCTAAGTTTTTGCTCTTGGTTATGGGAGATTTGGAGAAGACAGCAACAGGTCTCTTTTCAGGGAAACCGCCTGTGTCTGCGCGGAAACCCTCCCCTGCCCAGCGCCCAAACCTGACCTCCTCGGGCTGCGAGGCAGGCCCGCAGAGCCTACCTTGACTATGTCCTCGTTAATGTTCTTGGGGTCTCGGTTCACCAGATCGATCTCCTTGAAGTGAATGTCCTTGACGATCTGGGCCTCCAGGTCCGTGTGCTCTTCGGCCATCATCGCGGAGCTGGGGACCCGTGGGAGGAGATCGAGCGGTGTGGCCGGCCGGGGCTGAGAGTGCTTGGGGCAGAGAGACCAGTTCAGTGTCCCCAGACTTGTGTCCCTGCAGCTAAATAGGCCCCACCCAGCATGCCGGCTGACAGCTGTCCCACATAACTTCAGCCTGCCTCTGGCTAAAGCCTCCCGTGGCAGGCCTCCAAGCTAAAATTAAGACTGGAGCTCTTCTGGAAGGCTGAGCACGCCTTAAAGGGGGCTGCCGCGGGTGCCGGGCCTCAGGAGAGGGAGCAGAGGGCCTGGCGGTCCCTGCGTGTCACCAAGGTGGCCAGGCTGTCCTGTGGGGCCCCTGCGATTTGCCCCACCGCTGTCAGCGCTTGGGCTCCGCTGTGGAGCAGCTGTCCGAGGAGAGCGGTGCGGTTGGCTCCAGCTCTGCTTCTGGCCGGCTGTGTGACCTTGGGCACACTTTGCCTCTCTGGGCCACTATGTCTCCATCTATAAAAATGGGGACGTGATAACTGTTGGGGCTCCTACCTTTGTGGAGAGGAGGAGACAGGCTGGTGTGCGGGAACAGCCTCGGGAGCTGCAAATGCTGTCTGGCCGGGTTCTGGCTGGACTGTGGGTACCTGGCCCTGCTGTTTGGTGGCCTGGAGCAGGTCTGAGGTCTCCCCCTTCTGGGGCTTGCGGTGTGGGCGGGGGTGTGGGTGGGCTCTGGGGCCAGAGGAGTGAGAGGGAGCCAAGGACTGGCAAAGCAGAGGGATGGGCAAACAGTAGGGCCATGTATAGTAAACACATGTAAAAATATAGTGAATATTTTAGGCAGCCCTGGTTATGTAAGTTGAGGGGTCCAGAGTGAAACAAAATGCAGGGCCCTTGTTAAAAAGTGATTAAAAATTTTGAGATGTTGGAACCAGGCCCCAGGCCCCATGGGTTGCATGTTCCTGAAGCTGGCCCTGGTTTCAGGCTCTGAGGGCCATGTCACCTCTGTCATGACCACTCAGTTCTGAGCACAAAAGCAGCCACAGGCAATACGTAAACAAACAAGGGGGCATGGTTGTGTTCCAATAAAACTTTATTTACAAAAATAAGTGGCCGCCAGAACACCAAAATAAGATTTTGGCCTATGGGCTGTAGTGTGCGGACCCTGTGTAGAGTCCTGGTCAGCAGAGCCACCTCCGGAGGGCGCTGCCCTGAGCCACGTCTGGCCAGCCTCAGGTCGCGTTTGAGCCAGCGCAGGTTCGATCTCCTGGCGACAATAGCTCTGCCTTGAGCACCGCACCTCACTGGCTTCCTTCAGTCTTTGCCTCGTCTTTCCGTCAGAGAATGAGCATGGGCACAGGAGCCCCAAGCCACCGCATCCCCTCCGAGCGCAGATGGCAGGACAGGGGGGACTGGCCCTTGCCAGTCAGGTGGGACCCACTTTGCCTCCCAGGTGAGAGAAAAGAGATGGAGGCTTTTCCAGCCTCCAGGAGCCACAGTGAGAACACCCTGCTCAGACATCACGCTGGAGCAGGCTCCGGGGAAGGGGTGTGCACGCATGTGGTGGGAATAGCGTTGGCCCGTTCTTTTAGCAAGGCCCAGGGCAGGCCTTGGTCTCTGAGAGCAGCAGGCGCTTTGGCATTCGGAACCTCTTAATGAATTCACAGAGACCTGACGTCTGGGGCGGGGTGGGGGTGCTCCGCAGGCTGGGATTTCTGCATCTCTCCTCGGGCGGCATGGCGGCCAACTCAGACCCAGCTGATGCTGCAGAGACTGGGTGCCCTGAAGATGAGCTCCTGCTTCTGTCTGAGACCCCATTCTGCCGAATTCACGGGGGCAAGGATGGGAGAGAAGTCACCGCTCCTCCTTGTCTCTGTCTACCTAGTCCCCCATCAGACCTCTGTCTGCTGCTAAAAGAACCGGCTCCGGTCCCATTCAGCCTGAGCTGCAGACGTGAGCTGTGCATGGAGTCCCGGCGACACGGTGCACGCCCCACCTCATCCGCACACTGCCTTGTCATAAAGCAGGCTGAGCTCAACTCTTCTGTGTCAAGGGGCAGCCTTCCTGGGGCCATATTTTCATTCAACACACATTGACTTCCTGCTGGTGTTTTGCTGGGCTGGGCGGGTGGGAAACCAAGATGAATAATGCATTATTTCAGCAAACACTGGGCACGTGGCGTGTAGCAGGTGCTGAGGATAAAACAGTGACAAAGACTTGGACCCCAACCTGGCGGGTCGCACAGTTCTGCTGGGGAGGCAGACAAGAAAAACCAGTGGCAAACGGGGGCCTTGCAAGCCTGCATGTGTGGGCGGGCGGCCAACGCTGGAAGGACTTCCCCGTCCTGTGGGGAGTGACAGAGGCACTCAGGCTCCTGCAGATCCCTGCAGACAGTGCTGAAGTTCCCTTGAGCAGCTGGGTGGACACTGTCCCCGAGCAGCGGGCATTGGCTTCTTGGGCCCATTGCAGTGAGCCAGGAGAGAGCAGAGAGGACGTCGGAGGAGCACTTGCTTGCAGGGAAGGAATTATTGTCCTCCCTCCCTGGGATTTGCAAAGGAGAGTGACTCTGAGTAGTAATGGTGTGTTAGGGGTTGAACTGTGTTCCCTCAACGTATGTGGAAGTCTTAAGCCCCAGGACCTGTGAATGTGACCTTATTTAGAAACAGGGTTCAGCATATGATCAAGTTAAGAAGTCATTAAGATGGGCCTGAATCCAATATGATTTTATAAAAAGGGGAAATTTGGACACAGACATGCACAGAAGGAGAACACTGAAGACTGAAGTTATGCTTCCCCAACCCAAGGCACTACCAGAAGCTTCCCCAGGGCCTTCAGAGAGTGTGACTCTGCCCGCACGTTGATCTCAGACACCCGGCCTCCAGAACTGTGGGAGTTCTGGCTTTTAAGACAGCAGTCCCCAAGCCTTTTGGTACCAGGGGCCAGTTTCATGGAAGGCAATTTTTCCACGGACCAGCATGGGGGCGATGGTTTCAGGATGATTCAAGCGTATCACATTTATTGTGCAGTCAGACCTCTCTGCTAATGATGATCTGTATTTGCAGCTGCTCCCCAGCGCTAGCATCACCGCCTCAGCTCCACCTCAGATCATCAGGCATTAGATTCTCATAAGGAGCACAGCCTAGATCCCTCGCACGCGCAGTTTACAGAAGGGTTCTTGCTCCTATGAGAATCTAATGCCACCGCTGATCTGACAGGAGGCGGAGCTTATGCAGTGATGTGAGTGATGGGGAGCGGCTGTAAATACAGACGAAGCTTCGCTTGATGACCCTGCCACTCACCTCCTGCTGTGCAGCCCCGTACTGGTCTGCTGCCCCCGGGTTGGGGACTGCAGTTTTAAGCCATCCAGTCTGTGGAAGAACTTAAGAGCTTGGGCTTCTGAGTCAACTGATGTGAGAGAATACACTCGGCACAAGGTGCATGACCTTGAGCCTCAGTTCCCTGACCTGTAAAATAGGAATGATAATAACAAGATGAAGTGAGGACCATGCCAGCGTCAAAAGCTGAAATGCCCTCCAGGTGAGGGAGTGAAGCCGGCCAGGTGGAAGAAACACGGCTTCCGTGGGCCCGGGGGGCAAGAAACACTCCCCTTTCCTTCAGCTGTAGGGAAACTGACAGGACAACCATAATGGTGAGAGCAAGGGGTGCTCAGCCCCAGTGCGGCAAGGGAGCAAGGCAGCAAGGCGAGGTGGGGAGTGCGGAAAATTAGAGATCCGGTGCCCGGATGACTCAGAGAGGAGAGGAGTGTGCAAGCTCGGGGCTGGAGCTGAATGGCCTGGCCTGGGAGAGGACACATAGCCTGGGCTGTGGCCTCCTGTGATGTGAAGAATCCCAGTCCCCAGACCACACCCCGGACCAGTTACAGCACAATCTCCGAGTTAGAACCCAGGCATTGGGGGTCTTTAAAGCTTCCTGGATTTAAAACCAGCGTCTGGCAGCGGGGAGGAGGTGGTCAGGGCCTGGCGCCCCCTAGTGGTGGGGCCAGGGAGAGGCTAAGGAAGGGAGAGAAGGCGTTGGTCTTGGGGATTGGGGGTGGAGCGCCCTCTGCGCTGCAGTGCGACCCCTCTCGTGACCCCTCCCCTCTTCCTGAAGCTTCACAAGTCCAATGTGCCTGTTGTCATTGGATGGGGGAGGGGCCGAGTTGAGCATCAAGTGACAGGGCGTCGGAACAGCTACCTGAATAAGAAGAGCGGCAGGAAAGGTCCGGTAACCTTGTGACATTGCGTAGCTGTGGTTGGTCTTTAATGGTGAACAGCGCGACACTTACCCGAACTCAGGCAGGAAAATTTACAAAGTCTATATTTATGCTCGGAAGAAATCCTGATGGATGGGAAATCAGGAAGACGGAGTCTTTGGGAGTTACAGAGTAACCAGCCGATGTTAGGATTAGATGTCAGGGTCTGCTGCCCAGGACTCAAGAGGAAATAGCGTGACCCAACCCTCCGCGAGCTTGGTAAACTCTAGCTTAAAATTTAACCTTGCCTCAAAGGAGACAAAGATCATAGGATGTGTATGAGGTGACTGTCGGAAGTTCAGCAGAATATTTAAACAAATGTAACCTTGATCACCACGAGAAAAAACACTGAGCTGTTGAATAGGATCATTAAACCGAGGCGGTGAAGGAGAATTGTTCATTAGGTTGCGTTTATCTGATGAGCTTGGCACCTCTGCCAGATAAATAAAAATCCCTCTTATTCGAATAGATCTGTGGTGGTTTGCTAATGGTCTTTATTTTGTTTTGTCCAGAGAACACGCCTGTAATATTTCATTTCAATCTGCTGTAGAGCTGGCGTGGGGCTGTCGGGAGAAGTTTTAAATTTTGCCAACACGCACGTTTACCTCCACTACTGATTTGCGAGTGCTAGTGTAGGAGGCATTTATTTGATGAGGGGCAATGTGATGTCATTTTATCCTTATTTAGTGGACCAGGCAAAGAGTGGTCCAGCTGGTTGGCTCCCTGGAGCCAAGGAGGGTGGGGAAGGAGGTGGCGGGATTGGGGAGAGGAGCAGGGTTTAGGCATCTCACTGGGGAGAGGTGGAGGAGACGGTGGCTTTGTGTTGGGGCGGGAAGGCCAGTG